TTTATTGCACGCATCTTTCAAATATGGTAAGCACTAATTGGTTATGAATAATTATCCCGGGGGATTAAAGCCAATCAGAAACCACGAAGTATTTTGAATGAATAATTTTCTGAAATATTTCTAGGGTGAGCATATTCAGGGTTGTTTGGGATAATATTTTCCTTTCAAATTTTTCTAACAACTCGTTTCGTTTTATGGTTTAGGTTTTTACGGGAAATACAGATAGGGATACTGTGGTTTCTCATGAACTGAGACCGCCAATCGGAGCGCGTTATATTCGTTTTCGTCCACTAACTTGGAACAACCATATTTCAATGAGAGTGGAATTGTTTGGTTGTTCACGAGGTGCGTGATAATAATATTGTAATACTAATACTACTAATGATGATGCTGATGACGATGATAACAATAACAAACCTGCTTCCGCTTCTTAAGATACTAGACAAAAAAGAAAGTTATTGACCTCAATAACCTGAATTCAAGAGTTAATCGGCTACTGGCATGGGACAAATGATTATCATTTGCACGTTTGCTAACATCATTTTCAGAAACACAGAAGCTGAAAAACTTAGTTTATTAATCACAAAAATTAATGATTTGTATATCGAGGGAAATTAAAAATACAAGGATGTGACACTGGTGTGAGGGAGAGGTGGCCATCATCTACCAACGTCCTTATCCGAAAGTGAGGGTATAACATCACACATGCAATGGGTAGGAATAGAGGCCAGCTATATGGATGGGAAGCTTACAATTTAAGACGTTTACCACGAAGCTGGATAAATATCTCTACGTCGTTTCCTTAGATTGTCATGATCCACTTGGTATGGAAAATGGTGCAATCTCTGATAAACAAATCATTGCATCCTCTGAATGGAATGAAAAGCACTCTGCCAACATGGGAAGGTTACACTTTAACGGAGGAGCACTGGGCAAGGCGAGCGCATGGATTTCACTCACAAAAGACGCCGACCAGTGGCTACAAATTGATCTCTTTAGTTTAGGTAATAAATACACCAGAATAACAGGTGTAGCTACACAAGGAAGAAGGAATGAAAAACACCAGCAGTGGGTGAGCAAGTATAAACTGCAGTACAGCAGTGATGGAGTGAATTTCCGGTATTACAAAGAACAAGGACAGACTGTGGACAAGGTATTATGATATAAAGAACTTCACGGTTGTTCAAAAGGCAGACAGTGTTATTATCTACGGATTAAATGATTGCACAGTTGACAAAACACCTGGCTATGCTTGCAAAAGTCGGCCTTCCACTCTCCAACTGTAACATAATTGGTTTCTCTAACACACATCCACTGGATAGTTTATTCTGAGGATAATGCTATCAAGCTTTCGAGCAACCAGATCCTAGTTTCTTTAACGCTTATCCCACTTATCTTTTAATGCTTAACACTATGCGGCAGCAAGTGAACATACAACTGAGATCAGACTTTAGATCTCATCAAGCTGTCCAGGAAGCGACAGTTGCTCGCTGTAAGTAACACTGTTAGTTTTTGCTCCCGTGGTGAGAAAAGCTCTCGCATGTGGCAGTCCAGCTTTCATAGCGATGTTGCTTTTTGATCCTTCGATGTCGGCTCTTCCTATAATTGCGAAGCAAAATTCGCCAAGTGATAGACTGCTCACCCACCAATAGGGAATGCGAGCTAGGTTTAAGAAAAATCAGACTTAAGATCTCAACAAAGTTGTTAATGAAGCGACAGTAGCTCGCTAGAAGTGTTGGTTATTATTTTTGCTCCTGCTAAACAAAACATCACCAATGCCGAGTAAATATACATTTTAAATTCATTTACGTCATAGCTATAGTTTTGCTATCTATGTTAAAAATTTACCATCGTATATCCCTCTTTGCGGTTTAGGTATTTGCTGGGAATGTCGGTCTTAATGAAACCGTTGTTCAGCACGATCTTGGTCCACCAATCAGAGCACGTTATATCCGCTTTAGACCAATGGAGTGGAATATCCACATAGCAATGAGAGTGGAGATCTATGGATGCACGCAAGGTAAATGATAGATTTTAGGGCAACCTATGAAGGCAAATAATATAAACTTTTGTTTTTGTTTTTGTTTTTTTATTTTTGGCAGAAGTGTTAAGTTGAGTCAGTTCTGTTTACTGGGACACGAAATAATGCAACATTCATTAAATAATGAATTTGTGAAAGATGTGACCGTTTATTTGTTGAAAAGATATAAAGCTGGGAAAACTCACATAAAAAAATATTACCAAACACACCATTCCATAAGATCAAAGTAGAAAGAAAAGAGGAAAGGGGGATTTCCTACATTAGGACGAGTTTTGAGCTACATTGGAAAGGAGATTTGGTAAGAAAAAACCATTTGCTTGCTTTCTGTTTTCGTAGAATGTACTGCAACAGCTCTTGGCATAGAGATGGGAAAAATTTTTGATTCTCAATTTGTTGCTTCAAGTGGTAATGCTTCGCTGGCAAGATTAAATGGACGCTTTGCTTGGTGTCCAATGATAGATGGTTATGGTGAATATATACAGGTAGGAATAACTCAAGTTTATTAATATCATAAACTGTACTCAGCATTCTTTCCTTACATGCGGTCATGTGGAACACTCATTTAGCTTTTTTAAAACGATTCGATTATTGCAAAAGTTAACCACTTATAGTTAGTGAGAAATCTGAGAAAACCTAAGGGCGGCTAAGAACATTCGAGGCCTATTGACGAATTATTAAATGAGATAAAGGTTAAATTCACAATTACATATGATCAGAAACTAACAAAGCATATCTGCGTAGAAAAACCAGTTTGTATTTTCGTAAACTCTGGCCACCTCTTGACCAGCTGCGGTCACAGATTCAAATATAGTTGAAAAAAAAAATGTTAAAGATCATGTGTAGTATATAACTTGCCACCCGTTTTACATGTTACCAACACTTGACTCATTGAAGTATTTTGTTAAATATCAGAATTCTTTAATTTTCTGCTCAGGTTGATCTTGGTCGACTGTACCTTATTTGTGCTGTAGCCACGCAAGGAAATCCAGAAAAAAATAAGTATTTCTTAAAAGAATACAAATTGGGATGGTCCAATGACCTGATTACATGGGAAACAAGTACTGAGGTATGGATACATGAAACCACTTATTGTAATGATTTAGTATTTTTTCATTACGATCGCTTACTCTCCTTAACGAGACAGGTGAAAAAATTAAACCATCACAATTGCCAGTTTCACAAGTACCCCCATATGTTTAAAATTATACAGATAAAAGTTATCATGCGGCCCCAGTAACCCTGACGATAACCACATATATATACTTTTTATTATATATTATACCTACCTGGTCAGAGGTGAATAAAGTTCTTTTGATAGCGTTCTTTAGGTACGGATCATCTTGGTTTTTCATTTAGATATTTATTCCAGAACTATCCAACTTTACAGGCTATCACAGGAAACACTAACTGGCGGGACGTTGTGAAGAATTCCATTCCTGCAATTTACGCTCGGTATATTCGCCTTTACCCTTTAAAGTGGTACGTCAGGGGATGTGTAAGAATGGAGCTTTATGGGGAGCCCTGGCTAGAAGGTAACGTAAAGATACAACATTTTTTTAGTTTAAAAATAAGTTCCATAACGTCAGAAAATAATATTGTTTTCGTGGGAGCGCAGTACTAGAGACCTTTAGCATCACGTTTTTCATGGAAAACCGCAAACCGCAAAATGTCACGTGACCACGGCCATGCGGTCACGTTTGCAGTTTCGATTCACGTTTGAACCGGCCTGGAAGGGCTTCTAGCGGAAAGTGATTTACGGCAAGGTTTTTGGCACCAAAAATTGTACAGCCTCGCGTTTAAAGGCACGAACTTGCTTGCTTGTTATATCTGTTTGCGATGTGTTTGTTGGATTTTGATCCCGAATCAATGAATTATTCCTGTTTTTTGGGCGATAAAAGTGATGCAGTGATGCACTTCGACTTGATGAAAAACAACATGGCGGCACTAAACAATACTAAACAATGAACGCGTGGTTCAAACCGATTTTATATTCCTGCCGTACTAACATAAGAAAGTTTTCTGTTCTAATCCAGAGTTAAAATTTTTTTTCTTTCTTGTCACTGAATTCATCACTTAAAAAGTCTGTGTTTAGTTCATATTTTTAACGTATCAGCTGACGCATCACTCCGCGAATTTCATTTTATTTTAATTCAATCTTTCTTTGCGACTGGGGAGCCCAGGCTTCATAAGCCTTCTGGTTTCCTCTGGCCTCCCTTGCCAATTACAATTCCCATATGTATTCTTGTATTGTATTATATTTTGGCCAAATAAAAATGAAATGAACTGAACTGAACTGAACGCCTTGCTAAAATTTGAAATCTCGGCAACGTGAAACTGCAAACGCGTAACGGCAAACTGCGGTTTGCGGTTTGCGGTTTCCCATGAAAAACCTGATACTAAAGGTCTCTATTATCTCAGCTGCCCTTGGGTAAAGTTTTCAAATCTAATTTTTTAGCCTATTTGAATATTTTTAAATACTTTGGTTACTGTCGCCTTTTTTCTAGTGCCAACTACAATTTTTACTTCCACGGCTTCAGGTGAGGCACTACAAGGTCACGTCATCTCCACACTGAATAACACCAACGACATAGATTGCTTTAAACTGTGCTTGGGGACCACTCACTGCGAGTCGATCAATTTAAGCGGGAGGATGAAGATGTGTGAATTGAGCAGTTCTACAGCTAAGGCGCAAATACTTGAGGAACGGGAAGAATTTCACCTCTTCGAATCGCCTGCTCACGAAGCGATCTCTCTTTAAACGTCAATTCTTTAAACTTTCATGAACGGTTCATTTAATGGCAAACGTTTATTTAATGACAGACTTAGCTACAAATCTTGAATATCCACAAAGAAGGAAAAGCTTAACGCCCCTCCCCAATCCAGAAATAAATGATGAAACCAGGGCAAATCGGCCATTTTTCCCACAGCAAGATTTATACAAGATTCATTCAAAGGAAAGGCAATTTCTCTTTCCCACCCCTCTCCCATAGCCCAGAAATCAAGAATGATAATTTAAGGTCGCACAAAGTCCAAAAGCGCCTAATTATCGATTTTGATGGGGGTTGGGGTTGGGTGGGGAGGTGGTCTTACATTTGCGTTTTTCTTGTTACATATTGCAAATCAAGTTTAACAATAATTTTATAGTTAATGTGGTTAAGTAATTTTCTTCTGGAAGTCAATACTCAGGCCTTCAATATGGTTTCATTGTATAAGGAGCTCTATAGAACAGAAAAGACCAGAGGCAGAAGTTTTTCTTGTTACATATTGCAAATCAAATTTAACAATAATATTATAGTTAATGTGGTTAAGTAATTTTCTTCTGGAAGTCAATACTCAGGCCTTCAATATGGTTTCATTGTATAAGGAGCTCTATAGAACAGAAAAGACCAGAGGCAGAAGTTACCCCGCTTTTAGCGTCACGAAACACCTGAAATTATTTTTACTCCCCCTTGGACAGGATGCTCTCATCCATTTCAGGACTTAACCCGCAGCAAACCTTGCCAGATGTGTTCACCACCTGCAGGCCAAGTCTTAGATCATTTATGATATGCTTTGTAATTCACTAAAAGCACAAAATTACAGATTGATACAGAAAGAAACGGATTGTGGATACGATTCATGCACTCCCCCCTTCCCTCCGTCTCAAACAGAACAGAACTAGTGTAAAAAAAAACATGAGAGGAGAATGGGATAGAGAGGAAATCTTAAGGTGTTGGCCGGGATATGTGAATTTCACCGCACTTATGTTTAGAGGCTGTAATTAAACGGGAGTCTTATTCCTGAGACACCCGCAATTTCAATCCATTGTTTGAATAAGCAAGCAATGCAGAGTATTGTAATGGCGACTGTTGAATTCTTTCTTGACAACATTAGATAAATGTTTGCGGACCTCTCCGGTAGGCTTAGCCACAAGTTGCCGATGAATCCCAAAAAAGTTGCCGATAAAAGTGTCTAAAAGTTGCCAAAAAGTTCTTATTTTGTTTTCAAAAAGTTGCCGAAAAGTTGCTGAATTTCCAAAAAGTTGCCGAAAAGTTGCCAAAATTTTTCTGCTTTTCGTACCTTTTTGGGGTGTTAAAGATTAAAAATTCGCACATTGCTTCTTATCAAAACTTTATTTGTCAAAGTCCAATGATAATATCAGAGGTTCTTTC